ACTACAGCAAATACATTCCCTCCCCATTCTTGATGTTGTTTTGGAAGGCATGTCCATGACTTTCATAACTGGAATTCCTAAATTGCACAGATTCAAGGCCATCCTATTACTTCCACTACTAATAGGGGTTAAGTTCTCTTCATCTATTTCTTTCCTATTGAAAAAAGAATCATTTTTTCTACTCTTCATTATCACTTTTGTGATGCATAATCAATTAAATAAATTAACACAACACAACAAAATCTCAAAATTATCTAAGTTCCAATCTTACACATATTAGTAAGTACCAATTCTCTAAATTCCAATTCCACTACATTATAGCGCATTAAAAATATAACCACCTCTAATATAAACAAATTCCTTCTACTCCTAACAAATTAAAAAATAAACACTACCATTTTTCTATTAATGTCTTATGTAACTAATAATTAAAGTTTACAAAATTTCAACTTCTAAGGCACCAAACTAAAAAAAATTATCACATTATCACAATACAAACACAATACTTCAAACCAGAACATCAACTTAATAAAACAAACCAAAAACACATTATCACATTATCACAATATTATACTTCAAACTAAAACACCAACCTACAACAACACAAGATTACTTCAAGATTAATTTTTAAAAACAATGTTAAATCTTACTTAAGATTTAAGAGGAAGGAAGCAAGTTAGATGAAGAAGATGGACTTCTAAAAACCAGTTCGTGAAGGCCTCTGGAGGATTGAGATTACTTGAATGAGAGAGATTACTTAAGCAATTGAACGAGAGAAAGAAATTGTTCTCCTGGAATGCGAAAATATCAATTGGTTAGGGTAAACAAGAACAATGACATTAGTTTCTTTGACATTATTTTGAAGAAACTGTTGAATGAAGAGTATAAAAATACACAAGTTTCCTTGACATCCATCACAAATGACTTACTTAGTGAAGCATCAAAAGATAGTGATACCTTAAATCTTGAGCGCTTTAGCTTGTTTGTTGTTGAAAACAATTGAAATGGATAGTGAAGAACACTGTAAAGATCATTTTCATTACTAGAAATTAGTAAACATGATTGTGCACATTGAGGTGAATAGCATAGAACAAACACAACAGTAGTTAGTAATCACGATTCTATGTCAATAGATTAGCACAATATCAAGAATTAGTTCTTATGTCAAGAATTAGCAATTCAATTCTATGAGGAATTTCTACGTACACCTAATGTGCAAATGTTATGTCTACAAATCTATGTTAAAATCTACATCACAAATTCACATAAACATTATCACAAACACATAATATGCATGCAGAAATTACTCAAGTATTCAACAAAACTATGAAAATCAAGTAATGTTACCTAAGATAATTTGTAGAAAATTGGAAGTTGGATGTTGTTGATGATGATAACAGGGAACCACGTTTGGACTTGACAAAGAGCTTTGAAGTAGGAGCGACGGAGATGGCTGAGGAAGTGACGGCAAGTGACGGTGACGGCAAGTGACGGAGCTTTGAACAAATGGAAATAGAAGAAGAATGGCGGCAGCAGTGAAGTAACGGTCGCGGAGATGAGGCAGGAGTGAAGGTTATGGAAGTTCGTAACAGTAGATGTAGGTTATGGAAGGTCTGGACTTTGGAATGAAGGTTGATGTGAGAAGACGGATGGGGTTTGTATAATTTTGTTTTTAAAAATTTTAATTTTAAAAAGGCTATGAAAGCGCTTTTGAAAAGCGCCTTAGTAGATGTAGCTATACCAGCGCTTTTAAGGGTAAAGCGCTCTTGTACCCCACCCCCTACCAGAGCGCTTTTGAAAAGCGCTCTCATACCCCCTTACCAAAGCGCTCTCATACCCCCTTACCAAAGCGCTTTTCAAAAGCGCTCTCATACCCCCCCTTACCAAAGCGCTTTTCAAAAGCGCTCTCATACCCCCCCTTACCAGAGCGCTTTTTAAAAGCGCTTTCATACCCCCCCCACTATAAGAGCGCTTTTTTAGCGTGTTTTTTAATTTTGTCTTTAGCGAAGCCTATGCCAGCGCTTTTCCTAAAAGCGCTTTCGTAGGGGTGCTGCTAAAAGCCAAATTTGGTATAGTGTTGCCTGTCGATCCCTTATCTTTTTTGTACCAATAATTCTTGGCTACGTGACTCCACTTTTCACAATTATAGCATTGCACACCTTTTTTTATCTTCTTTATCCTTTCGATAATTTCCTCCTCTTCTTTTGGAGGATTTAAAAGCTCTGTCTTCGACCTGGTGCTTGTGAGGGTTCAACCAAGACTTATTTCCATGAGTCTTGTCAACTTTGCCTTTGAATTTGTTAGAATCACCATTATTTTTCTATGACTGAGCTTGCAGTGCATTTATCGAGTCCAAAACTCCTTTTCTTTCGATAATCTTCATCTCATGTGCCTCCAACGAACCAACCAAATTCTCCACTTTTAGGGTTTCAAGTTTGTTGGATTCTTGAATAGCTACGATAATGTGATCAAAGTAAGAGGTTAACGTTCTTATTACCTTCTCAACTATCATCTTATTAGTTATGGTTTCACCATAACCCTTCATGAGATAGACGAGTTTCTGAACCTTCGATAAATATTTTACAACTATTTTGTCTTCTCCCACCGACAACAACTCATATTATCGATACAAGGTTTGCAGATTGACAACCTTGACTTTGTCACCTCCTTCATAATACTTCACCAAAATATCTCATACCTCATTCTCCGTTTCAGCATGAGAGATTATGTCAAAGTTAGTAGCATCGACCTTCGTCTGAATACAATAAACAGCCTTGCAATCTTTCTTCTTGACTTCATTGTAGGCTTTTTTCTATTCGTCGGTTGCATTTGCAGCCAATGCAGAAACACCGTCGGTAACCACTTCTAAGATTTCATGGTAGCCAAACAAGGATTACATCTGTTTATTCCATCAGATGCAATTCTTGCCATCAAGCATTGGAAGAGAATTCCGAATGCCCTTATCACTAGCCATATTCGCAGCAGTTGATTCACTTTTCCTAAAGACACGATCTCTGACGTGAAATTCTTAAAAACTCGATCAAGAACAATAACTGAAAGCTCTGGATACCAATTTGTTAATGCGTGAGACATTTTTTATGAGGAGAGAAAGAGAAAATAATAAAAGAAATAAATTTTTTATTATTCACTTAATGAATTATACAAAATAAAGATACATACTATAACTATTTATATACAATTCTAAATAGATTTGAGCTAACACAACTTAAATTATATTTAAATATTAAATCTAATCAAATCAAATCTAATATATTTTAACATTTCAATATTTTTAACCCGCTTTCCTCTTTTCCAATTTATATTTTATATATTTTTTTCAACATTAATGTTTTGTTAGATGAAAAAATTTGGTTAAGTTAAATCAATATGTAATTATGTAATTATGTAATTTGACATAAAAAATGTCATATTAACTTTTGATCTCCCACTAACTTCTAAAATAAAACAAATATAACACTATTAATAATATATATTACATATTCGTAAGTAATATTTATTGAAATTTATATTACATATCCATAGTAATATAAATGTACACTATATATACAACTAGTTTTTTTTTACAAGTATATACAATTAGTTTTGAAAGTTATTCAATAGATGATATTGTCTAAGACAAAAACAAATTCTAAATTATTTAATAATATATCATTAATATTAGTTGGCACAAACACGTTAGGCACAAACATGTGTCATTATCTTGTGAATAACTAATAAATCCCACGTGGTTAGGCACAAATGTATATGTTCTCCTTTACATATTAGTGACATGATTATGAAAGTTTTCTTTTTTTGAAGAATTAATTGTGATAAGCCCATATAAAACAAAGAAATGTTGCAGTAGAGTGAATGTCTAATATTTAGGTAGGATTAGTATTCTCATTGGCTTATAGATTTTTAGAGCAGGTTAATTGTTTAATAAGAAAATATTTAAATAGTTAAATGGTGAAAGACAGTGCTTTTTATTGGATTTAATTAAATAGTTCAATTCATGACAGTTCATTCGAAAATACAAAATTCAATAAACTAATTCATCAATAATTATTATTTTATAAAGATTAATCATAATATAATTTATTAATAATTACTTATGTCAATTTACATATGATTAATTAAATAATTAATCTAAGAATCTCTTACTTATTTAGATGATTATAATTAAATTATTAAAATATTAACTTTAATATTATAATATCAATAATGATCAAAATATTAATTAATCAAAAGAGCAGTAAGCTTTAATGTTACAAAAATTGTATTCAATAAGAAAAATAAATGATACGTGTTAAAGACTGTATTAACATATCACTACGCCAAATAAGCTATTTAATAGCGTTTTTTTTGTTTTTGATAGCGCTTAAAAGTGCTATTAACCGCGCCACTATTGTAAATATTTCTTATTTAATAGCACTTTAAAAGCGCTATTAAAGTACCAATTTATAATAGCGTTTTAATTAAAGTGCTATCAAAGTCAGTATTTTGCATGTTTTTTGTTTGTTTTTTTATAGCACTCTAAACAAAAAGCGCTAATATATAACATATGTTTGATAGCGCTTTCAAATAAAGTGCTAATAAATGGTACATATTTGGTACAATATTTTTAATAAGTACAGTACAATATTTTTTCTTACACAATCATTTTTTTTGGTGTAAATATAAAATAACTATATTCAATTCAACACAAATAACGCTTTAAGTTACTCATTGCATATATATTATGATCCATCAAATACCAAATAACATTTTAAATTACCAAATCCTATTGTTTCCAAATATCATAACATATAGAATATTAAGAGGGCGTTTGCATAGCCAAATTTGTAGATGCCCATCTATGAGTACTTCAATCCAAATCCAAAAACATACAATCAAATTCTCTAAACAAAACACCAAAAAAATAAGAAAGGATAACAAAACAATCCCATGTAGTAACCACCTTCATGATCCAAAAGCGTTGAACTCATAGATACAATCACTAATTAGGCAAAATAATTGCTTCTTGTTTTCCTGTATCATAGAAGGAATATTGATTATGTATTGTACAATAAAAACTAATTCAACATATAAAGAATAATCAAACATTTAATATGGGTCTAACAAGAAGCGCATAAAATAAGGAATGATTATTATAAACTAATAACAATAAATCGATATAACTAATGCAATAATTGAACTAATTAAGTCTAACAAGAACATGACTTGTAAATATATAGACCACAATTTCCATTATTAGATGCATATAAACACTAAACAGAATATAATTCAAATTCTCAAAATATACATAAACACTTAATTGTGTGTAACTTTCTTTAGATGTAAGGCACTTAACATATAGGTTACACTCATAAAACAATAAGAAAAGTATCAATGTTATGTAACAAACGAACTATGTTTAAAACAATAGCTTATGGTTCTGCACAACGTATAACCCAAAGCTTAAAAACAAGTAATTGAGAAACGCATAATGAAAAAAGAGAAACATATAATATAAACTAGAAATTGTTAAACTTGGGATTATCAATAAAAGATGAGAGAAAAGTAGTATTGATAAATCCTAACCTACCTTGTAACAAACACAGAAATTCAAAAACAAATGAATTATGAATCAATTTTAAAAGAAAATGAATCAATTTTCACTCTTTTCTCTTATCTTACACTTCTTAAGTGTGCTTTGAGATTATCCAGTTCCAAAAATAAATTCAAGTATGAAAATATAGAGACACAAGAAAAATAACACTCCCCAAAACATGGCAAAAATACACAATCCCTAAGAATAATATTGAAAAAGAAAATTAATGCAACTTATCCAAAAAGCATATTACAAACCTTCTACTTTGTCGGTGAACCATCCAGAAAGATGAGACATGATTTGATAAAGCAGGATCCAGCACAAGAATTGGCTCCTGAACCAAGGAGTAAAAGCAAGATGATGAAGAAGAATCAACAAAATTGCAAAACACTAGCAGTTTCAAATATAAATATCATAATCGAACTATAGTAATACATGCAGAGCTAGATTAGTTATCACCTTTTCCATAACCCAACCATTCTGCACAGACAAAGTAAGGTACAAAGGTTTATGAATATCAACTGAATATATATGTACACTCTGACGAGAAGAAACGATACCACGATGTCGCTCGACACCGTTTCCTTCCTTTGTTTTCTCTAAGATTGAAAATTCAGCAGGACAAGGAAGCCGATTCTCCAATTTCATAGGAGAGTTAATAGATATTCTCCAATCATATACAGGGGTATTTAGTTCAGTATTAAGGACTGAGGCATCTGTACCCACACTAAACCATATCTGTTTACTTCCACTGCTAGGATTACAGCACAGAAGTATATCCTTTTTCTCAATCTCATTTAGCTTTAAAGAACAATTTGATGTCACAGAATTTGGTCTACAACCTGGATCTAATTGTTGATCTTTGCTAAATATATAGGTTGAACCAACAGCTACAGCATGACTCCATGAATATGAGGGCTGAGAATTATCAAAGCTAGGTCGAATTTGCAAATGTTGTTCAGAATCCTTTGACGTACTTCTCCATGATAAAACAGTAGATGCTCCAGGGTGCACAGTACTTACTCCACTTTGCAAGGATTCTACACCTTGTTCAGAAGTGGGTTGTCTAGTACGAATCCAACGCCTTCGACGGACAACATCAGAGGCCGATTTTGTTGAAGATTTTGATGAAGTAGGAGGCCATCTTAAATTTTTAATGTCTGATTCATATGCCCAGCCTTCCTTGTCAACATGCTGAAACTTTTCTATGGACCAACCTGAAGCCCATTTCCACCCAGGAGGAAGTGGAGGTTCGAAGAAGTCCTGCAAAAATGATACAGGTGAATGAGGATCTTAATAAGTGCAATAGGTACGGAAGTTAACAGTTGATAACAGAAAACCTATAAGTATACCAACCTTTGATGAGGACGAGAAGTCCCTTGTGCTCCAGTGTCTAGGATTATCAGGGTGTACATCTGGCCAACTGTTACCCCAACCTGATGATGGCTGATAATACTGATTTTGAAAGACTTCTTCTACCACTGTATTTGAAGAGCTTGTTCCAAGTGAGGGCTCATGACCACTAGAAGCATGACACGTTGAAATATTCAATATAACATCAGAATCATTCACTACTCCGACAAGACCCCTAAAAATTACATGTTTCTTCCCATTTTTCATCACAACTTCCATACCGATATATTCCTTCTTTAAGAATTTTGGACCAACTGTAAGTGGAAGTAATGATCGGACACTCTCCCACTCACCCCCTGGGTCAAGACCCACCCAAAAACCTATGTCTCTATCACTAGTATTGTCACTTTCCAATTCTTTTTGAAGATTAGCAATAGTATTTCTTTCAAAATAAGAAGTTGAAACAACGAGGGAGCTTTCATGCATGAATTCAACATTGCTTTGCTGACCCTGCAAAAGTGAACAAGAAAGAAGCAAAATAATTTATAGAAATTAATAATTTAGCAGATGGACAAATCTGGTGAAAACAATGTAGTGAATGGTAACTGGTAACTAACCATTCTAGTAAATGGATACGATCTAATATTTTGAGCATCATAGGGTTGATAAAACATTCTCACTGAAGCAACTTTCTTAAGAGTATTAGCACCATGTCCAACAGAAAAGGAAAGTGCACCCACGACATCCCCTGCAAGATGAATAGTTGGAGGGGAAAAAACAAAAACATGCTGAGTTGCAAAAAAAAAAAAAAAAGAAACTCCAATGTAGAAACAATATATGATAATGAACCAATAGAAGAAAATGTGACATAAGAAGTTTGATCTAAGAGATTTAACTAATCAGATTGCCTATAAATTTGTTTAAAATAAACAAAGCCTCGCTGAAAAGACATCCAATTCCAAACTATATGTGATGTTTTACTAAATAAGGCCATTCAAGAAATACCTTTCCCAGCTTTTGCAGCAAGATTGGTAACCTCTATTTCCAACTTAGCAGGGGCCTGTAGCATTTTATCAATGTGACATTAAATGCAGCAAACTTCTACGGATGTAAAAAGTTTCAAATTGAAGAATGTAGAACGTGTTGATATATAAGTTGGGGAAATTGCAGATCATGCAAAAAAACCAAAGAAAAATTAAATTTCAATGGAGCTCGTATTACATTTCAAAGATTAAATAGGTCCAAATTATGCTATTAAATAAACACACAGCAAGAAAAAATAAATAAAAAAGGAGAAACCATAAGTTGAATGTAAAATAAAAATAGCATGAATGAGCTTTCTTTAGCCTATGCAAAAATGTCACTATGCCAGACCATGACATTCATATTTTGAGAGCACAGTTTAGTTTCTGCATAATGTCATTCTAAAAGTTATTTCAGTCAATGAGCATTATAGGAACAAAATAGAAGAAAAACATAAACCTAATCAACTAATGACGCCCATCACACATAACCAATCAATTACCTTTCGGGGAACTTCAAATATAAAAAGTTCATTCCACTTTACATTGCCTTCATCCTGATTATTAATTCTTGATATTATAGGCTTGACACACTTTGTTCTTGCACTCTGAGGAAAAAGCCTTTGCTGCTCGGATGCCTGACTGTCAACAACAAGACGCAAGGCACAGAAGAAGTTATGGCTGTTACCATCATCAATTATAGATAAACCCTGCAAAATTATAAATGAATTGATTTCAATGTTATGGGTAGGAAGGAAAAGCAGGAATCCAATTAGAATTCTGTATAACCATTTGCATCATGACCTTTGCTTCCAGTATCTGTACAGCGACATAGTAACGTGCTTCTCTGGATTCATCTGCAACATTTAACCTATTTGAAAATCGTGGAGGAGGAATCCACACAGAAACACAGTCTCCGTGATGTAGCATGTCAACTGTATCTACATCATGCTCAACTTTTTTGACAAAGATGTCACACCCAAGTTTATTTTCTACTATCACAGTCTGCAAGTCATCCTCATCTAGAGCAGAAAAAGTTGTACTTTCTCCTTTGTGTTGACCACCAGCCTCCTGCAAACCAAACAGTTAGCAAGACTTTTAAGAGTCACACGTCCGTTAATATATGATTTGATCATGTGTTTATAAGTGGGATCAATCATCACCCAGTAAACTGGTTTTGTAGGAATGAGTTAGTTCAACCACATTTCTAAACAAAACTATTTACCATATACATAGCTAGGGAGTAGGACTTGTGTGAGATAAGTGGTTAATTAAGTTGTTTATGCAAACACATCCTTAGTTGTTTTTATATTCTAAACAAGCAATCTTTCACTTCCACCCTCACAAAATCCAAGTAAACGAACTAAGTTCTTATGATGAGTGAGACCAATGACATTCAGTTCATTCCTGAATTCTCTATGAGCTTGATCCAACAAAAAATTGTTCAACTTTTTCACAGCCACACGAGTTTCGGAACATGTGTTGTTGTTGACGACTCCTTCATAAACTATACCAAAAGCTCCCCTTCCTAGCTCTTTGTCAAATCCATTAGTAGCTTCTTCAAGCTCTTCGTAAGTGAAGCAACGCAAATTGGTTTCAACACTAGTTTCACTTCTGCTAACTCTTCTAAGCTTCTTCTTGTACTGAACAATCATGGAGGTGCTGAAACATATTGCTACAAGCAATACAGCATTGAGAATAGCAGAGCTACCAAAAAGCACAGAAACAACCAAAACCAACGTTTCCCTATTATTATTCTTGTTCGCAATGATTGGAAATGGAGGAAAATCAAAGGACTGGAGGGAGGTATTATCTTTTCTCACTTTCAAGAAAGCCTTAGCACCATTAAGTGTTGGATCAACTTTCCCATTTGAGAGTGGTAACTTCTTCATCCAACAACTATCACCTAACCTGAAAATAGCCACAGAACACATGCAATCTCCCATACAAGCTTCTTTACACAGTTCTTCAGTAAAAGGCCTTTGAAGCACAGAATCTGAGAAAGGCCAATCAGTGTTAATCAAAACCTCAAAGTCATAGAGATCCTTTCTTTTACTCAGTTCATCTTCTTCACATCCTTGTATAAAATCTGGCTTGCAGCTACCATATGGATCATCAGGATTAACTAGAGAGTAACTTTTTGGACACTGACACGTTGGTCTCTTATCCTGTCCCAAAGTGCAGAAGCTATTGTATCCACAAACACCACTACTAGAACTGACAGTATAAAGACATATATTATCAGGTTTGGACCATACTGTGGTCCAACCTTCACTCTTTGTTGAACTCTTTGGGTGCTTGTAAGCAAATTATCATAATACTATTCCCTAAAAGAAATAAGCAATTTGAAAGGGAAACTATTAGAGGAGAATGAATAGTGTTATTGATGATTCCTCTTTCTCTAAGGTTGATAGAAAACCATGGTCAGAACATTTATCAAACACTTTGCGGGCAAACCAGAAGAGATAATGAGATTGATACAAGTGGAGCAAAGCTATAGAGAAGAGAAAAGAACGGAGAACGGTGGTGGATGACTTACCGGGAGTGACACGGATTGAGAGCGGCGGAGATCGGAAAGCTCAGAGACGATTGACAAGGAGGTGTCTCCAGTCTTGTTGTTTGGACGTGCAACTGTCAAAATCACCCATAAAGTTTTCTTAAATAGCACCAACACCCAATTTTCTGAAAATGTGTTTTGTTTTTTTTTTTTATCAATTAATTAATTAATTCATTATTATATATAACATAGCGCTTTTTAATAAATGCTATTATATAGGTAGTCAAATAATAGCGTTTTATACAAAATGCTATCTTAAAGAAGTTTAATAATAGCGTTCTGGTACAAAGTGCTATCAAAATTACATAGTCTGTATTATATAATAGCGCCCGATTAAAAAGTGCTATTATAAATGTGTTTTTTCCATTTTAATAGCATTTTTTTTAAAAGTGCTATTAAATTAGGTGATACAAAAAATCATTTTTGGCGTAGTGTATCTAAGTTAAGAAAAATATATTATTAAAGAATGGCCTAAACATATGAAAATGCTATTGATAAATTCTCACTAACCCAAAATATGATAAGACTCTTACTCATGTGTATAAGTCTTTGGATAGTGATTATACTAATGAGTTTTAAATTATAGGTCATATAATATCCACATAGGTCTATGAATAGTAATTACGCATAAGTGTACGCTATCACGAGAGTAATTATATTTAATGATAAGTATCTTCACAACACAATATCATACTCGATATGAGTATTGCTATTTACTTGTACTTTTATATTATAATTTGATAAATGTGGATTATTGGCACAACTCAATATTATTACATGCTAAAGAATTATTGTATCTTTTTAATATCGACCTCAACATCAAAATATGCGTCCTGAGATTAAGAGAATAATATATATCTCAGTATAATAGAATAAGACTTAGAGTTATTGTATATTTTGAAGATTTTTTAGAATATGTCATATTTTATGCTCCACGCAAGAATATATGACAATGTGAGAATAATAATTTAATATTTTACATTATATAATTTTATACACATGCATTCTCATTGATCCAACATGAATATGATAAACATTTATCAAAGTCTATTGGCCTTAAATACTCCGATTATACAATGAGATACTAATTTTATTTTTATTGCAAAACTATATAGAAGATTAGTTGTATAATATATCATCAATAGATTTTTACAAACTCAACCACATATTTTGCACATAAATAAAATATACCATTATACAGATAATTACATATGAAAGAGTATGATGATCATATAAAAAAAGTTTATCATCATTTAAGTGAGATCAAATTCCTATAATTTAAAATATAATATATAATTATAAATGAGCCTTTGATTTATTTAATATATTATTTTTTATTTATTTAATAGTGAAGATATAACAAAAGTAGATATAAATTTTCCTCAATGATATAAGACTATAATATCTTAAATATATTTCTATAAATAATCTTATATTAAATAAATAATATTTATTCTCATTATATAAAATTGACATGTAACTTCTCTCACTTGATAGAAAATAATAATTTAAATAAAATTAAGAGTTTTGAAAAATATGTAAATAAATATTCAATTATTTTCTCTATCACTCAATAATCATGTCCACCGATAAGGTATGTCTATCGCTTACATATATTTAGAGAATTAAAATTTAATTTAATAAAAATAATAAGATTTTAAATAAATTATTGAATTTCATAATTATATTGTCTTTAAAAAATAATTTTTTATTTATTATAATCTCAAATAATAGTATTAATATTAATAAATAAGAGATTTAACAAAAGTGTAAAAAGATCATGTCACGAAAATTCTAATACTGATAGAATACTGGAACAATCATTTATATAATTATAAATCACAAGTATATTGAACAGAAAATCATATTAATAATAACACACTGATAATGTATAACTATTATCAATACAATCATACAAATTAAAAATAATTATATTTTATTTAAAATAAGAAAATTTGTATTAATTATATCTATGATAGGTGAGATTACAATTATACAAATTAATATTTATTACTTAACTATCTAAAATATAACTCTCAAATAATAATATTTCAAATATACTCATACAATTAAATTTTTATTTATTTATTTGAGTATATAACGAAAAATCAATTTTTGACAAATTATATAGAGTTTAATTTAAAATTATTTGAAACTAATTTTAATATATGTAAATGCACATTTTATAATTTTAAGGACCATAGTAGATCAAAAATAAATTTATTCTTATATACAATTATATAATTAGTCATAAGAGAATTATAAATAATAATTAAATTACGACTAACCTTAAAGAGCGTGAGATTCATTCTTGTAAAAAGAGTCAATGAATATTAATGACTATTAAATATTTAATGTCACCTTAAAAAAATTTATAATTTAAGGAAAATACAATTTAAATTTCCTAAATAATAGTTTAAATTAAAATAAATGTAATATTTTAAAAATAAAATAAAATATAAAAAGTATGCTAAATGGCAGTGGTGAATAGTAGAGGAGATGGACAACTGTCGATTATTATTAATAATCATGATTATTAAAACATATGAAACCGTTTGCAAAGGAAAATGTAATTACTGAGAAATAAATGATCATTTAACAAAATTACTTAAATGATAAGAAATCTATTATAAATTATAAAAATATAAAAAGTAAAGTATTTGGTCAAACTAAATATATTCTTCTGAATAAATGATTAAACTTTTAGATTTCAGAGTTATATGTGATTTATTCTACCATTGTTCCAGTTTCATTCATTTAACGTTTAATGAGTCTGATGTGTTATTATCATATTTTCTCTTAATTTTTTTAATTTATTTTAATTTCTAATTAATGATTAATCTTTATTTTAATCTTTTATTTTATTTTATTCTAATTTTAATCTCTATTTAAATGTTACGTATCTATTAGACTTCATGGATACTTTGGAAAACTCTATTATAATTCTTAAACATTGATATTGGTTGCTGCAATAATTAAATTCCAACATAATATTAGAGTTTGTTACATAACACCATTAGTAAATCTATTCCATTTTGACAGTTACAGTTAATGTTTTATATTGGAATCAATCTATAATACAAATATATAAGGAATACTGCCAAATTTATTTGGTTTTTGAAATTTACACACAAATTCAATAATCAACTTTTTGGATTCTCACAAGTTATTATATAATTCATATCATTCACTTGCAAACTTAAGGTTCAACTTTTTTTCTTCTATTCTTCTTCGTTCTCTTGCTTTTTCAATCAAATAACTCTTAAAATCCATTGGATTTTGATACCATAAAATGTTCAACCTTTTTTTTTGTTCTTCTTCGTTCTCTTGCTTTTTCAATCGAAAAAGTTTTTGTTTTCTGATTTTTTACAGGCTATGTCGCACAATCTTTCCATGTTCAACTCTTAAAATCAATTTTTCTTTGAAGATATTTGTTGTTTATGTATAATTATCGCTTCTTTTGAGGATGACAAGCTTGATATTAACATAATCTAGAGATTTATTGTAAGATAACTGATTTATCATAAAGGAACATGGAGTGTTGCTACTTGCAGTACATGTAGTTGCATTGTGCAAACAAAACACAAAATAGTATGCTTAACATTTATAAGAATGTTATACAAAATCATTTTAATTTTTTTTTTGTAGGGAAAGACAATTCAAAGCTATTTCAAGATACGTGTACCAAAATTTCATAAGAGAATTATGATTATATTTGTTATCATTATTGAATTATTGAGATTTGTCAATTTTACTATAATAATAATTATATTTTATAATTTTGATTTTAATATTATAATATTATTATATTAATTTAAGGCATGATTAGAATATTAGGTCTGATTCTAATAGTTTTATGTATTTTTTTAATTAAAGATATAATAATATTGTGAAAAGATTGTGAAAACTGATACTTAATACATTCACGTGGAGATTTATCAGCTTGATAATTCCATGCAGTATGTAGCCACTATACTATATGCATATTATCAACTTGAGCAAAGAAAACTCTTATGGAAGGAGATTGAAAAGTTGAATAATGTTGATAATGTCCCTTGGATAATCATGGGGATCTAAATAATATTCTTGCTTGTAGGGATCACATTGCAGGTAGAGATGTCACGAAAACAGAATACAAAGATCTTCACAACATGATGCAAAACAAGGTTTGTATGAGGCTACCTCTAAGGGATTTCACTTTACGTGGTCGAATAAGCATGTAACGGGTGCGATATATTCTCGTGTTGATAGGATTATTAGCAATATCCATTTGTTCCAAAAACACCATGAAACTTCGGTTGTGGCGATAACAACACTTTCTTCCATGCTTCGGTTTTATATAAAAATAAGAGTAAGGGCCTGCACACGATGCATTATGTGAATGGCAGCCTGCTAAGTACACCAGCAGATATTGAAAATGAAAATATAGAATTTTACAAATCTTTAGTGGGCTCAAAAGCTAATGTTCTGCAAGGTATTGATTTGCCGGCTATCCGCAATGGTAAGTTTATATCTCCAAAGGAAGCTCATCGAATCAGCTGCCCCATAGAAGATAATGTAATTTGGACAACTTTGAATTCTATTGGCGATAATAAAGCTCTGGGGATAGATGGTTATAACGCATTCCTCTTTAAATCCTCCCGGGATATTGTTAAGAAGGATGATAAAGATGAAATATTGGAATTCTTTGAGACTGGTAAAATTTTGTTGGTAGTATATTGCTCTCTCGTTGCTTTAATTCTGAAGACTCCGGAGGGAAATACTATTAAAGACATGCGCCCTATTGCTTGTTGTACTACAATTTATAAAATTATATAAAAAATTATCACTGTAAGATTGGGGGAGGTTTTTAATTAGTGATACATGAGAACTAGCCGGCGTTTGTTCCAGGAAGAATCATCCATGACAATATTATGATGGCTCAAGAATTGATCAGAGGATACAAGAGAAAGCATGTTTTCCCAGTTGCATGGTCCAAATGGTTATTCCTAAGGCGTATGATATCGTTGAATGGACAACCCTCCACCATATTATGATTGAATAGGGGTTCCCGCGAATCTATATCAATTGCATTTTGGATTGTGTCACAATAATATCATATAGATTTTCTATTAATGGTGTTCCTTCAAAAATCATGAAGTCTAAGCAAGGTCTTAGACAGGGGGGACCTATTTCCCCCTCTTGTTCGTGCTTATCATGGAGTATTTTCATTGGATCCTACAAGGTTTGAATCAGAACTCCAATTTTAATTTTCATCTAAAGTGTGAGAGATTGAAAATCATTAATCTTTGTTTTGTTGATGATATATTACTTTTTGTGAGAGAAGATATTGAATCGATTAAGCTAATTATGAAGAAAGTTAAAGAATTCTCAGCTTCTACAGGTCTGAAGATTAGTATCCCCAAAAGTAAAATTTACTTTGGGGTGTGGATGATGATACTACTAACCTTATCCAGCAAGAGACTGGTTTTTCTATCGGGACTATGCCTTTCAAATACTTGGGTGTACCTTTGACTAGTAGTAAATTGACCATCTCTCAATGTTAACCTCTAATTGAAAATATGCTAATTCAGTTGAGACATTGGAGTACAAGACTCCTTTCTTATGCAGGGAGAATTCAATTGCTGAAGAGTGTTATTTTCTCCATTACTAATTACTAGATGCAAAATTTTTCTCTCCCTAAAAAGATAATATCTCACATTAACAACATTTGTAGAAGTTTTCTTTGGTCGGGTAAAGATAATATTACCAAGAAAGCTCTAGTGGCTTGGGATAAGGTTAATGATCATATTGCGGTGGGTGGTTTGAACATGATTTCTCTCCTGGAATAGAATAAAGCAACAATAGGTAAACTTCTTTAGAATGTCTGCGAAAAAAAGGATAGGCTTTAGATTAATTAGATCCACGCATTCTATTTGAAGGGCACTGATCCTGCTAGCTACTCCCACAGTATCCATTGTTCTTGGATTCTCAAAGCAATGTTCAAACATCGTTACAATCTCATGCACTCTAAAGAATGGAAGGAGTTTCAAAACACAGGTAAATATGTAACGAGAAGGATTTACATTATGCTAATAGGGGTAAAGCCTAAGGTTCCTTGGAGGAAACTCTTCTATGGAAATTTGGATAGACCCAGAGAGAAGTTCATCCTTTAGCTTTCTAGTTTAGGAAGGCTTCCCACTAAAGATCGGCTTCAGTGGTTTGGTATTATCACAAATGGTAAGTTTGTTTTCTGTGGTCTACCAGAAAGTGGTAATCACCTTTTCTTTGATTGCATCTTTACTATGAATTTATGGTATGATATCCTAAACTGGATGGACATCCCTCGCATCCCACTGAGATGGGATTTAGAGCTAAATTGGACTATACAGATGACTAAGGGGAAAAGTGTGAAAAATAATCTCATTAAAATTGCGATAGTTGAGATTACACATACTATTTGGGCAACTCGTAATAAGCCATCTTTCAGAACAAGACTATTTATTCCCTCCACAACAAGGATATGATTGATATTATTCTTATGAGAGCTAGTAGTGGCAGGAAGTTGAACAATTTTTGTAATAGAGAATAGTTATCTGACTTTCTTTGCATCTTAGTTTTGTTTCTGGTCTCTTTGTAGCTTGGATCATGTTTTGATCGGAATTTGTACTTCAACGTTTTTTGGTAATAAATTTTTCTTTTGTTAAAAAAAAAGGTATAATAATAGTAAACAATATTTTTGTGTTAATTCAAGGTCTGATTCTAATAGTTTTTTATATATATTTTTTTTTGCACCCTTCATGTTCTAATACATCAAATAGGTCAATAGATTTTATCAAAGCAAAAAGATGGGCTTAACGAGATTTGATCAATGAATTTGTATTAGTCGAAAGTTTGGCATTAGAGACGAGTTTAACAGAATTTGATCAATGGATTTGTATTAGTCGAAAGTTTGTTATTAGAGATGGATTTAACGGGATTTGATCAATGAATTTATATTAGTGGAAAGTTTGACATTTTCTCCTAGGTTATAATGATATTGAAAATTAAAAATATTTTCTCTTAGGTTATAGTGATATTGAAAATTAAAAATAATTTAGTTGGTATTTGTTGGAAGGTTTAACGTTAGAAGTGATATTGGAAATTATAAATAATAAATGATATTTAAAATTAAAAATAATAAATTTTCTTTAGTAAAAAATCATGAGAAAAAAATGAATTAGGTTTATAAAGTGATATAAAATTTAACATTTAAGAAAACGAGAAACACAATTTTTTAACCATCATTATACTATATTATATTTACAATGTATATCTTTTAACCATCATTAATAAATATACATTTTCAACGGATCAACACTACTTAATTTGTATATCGTTTATATACATTTCTTAACCATCATTGTGTTATATTTATTTACTATTTATAACGATATTGTGTGACCCGTGCGGACGCACCGGTAGATGACAATTTAATTATTTTTTTTTCTATTAAAATATACATTTTCGATGGGTCGAGACTACTTAATTTATATATTTTTTATATACATTTCTTAACCATCACTTTACTATATTTATTTACTATTTATTAAGATATTATACGACCCGTGCAAACACACGAGTAGACGACTACTTAACTATAATTGAAGTTATAGAATCGGTTGTAAGGGACGTCTTTGAGGGCGTGCAAGAAAGGCTACCGTACAAAGCCTCAAAATTTTTACGTTAAACCGTAACTATATAGGGCCTCACAAATCTTTGTCACAATTAAAATGAGATTAAATAGGACTTCTAATTATTTTGTCATAGTTGAACCATGACTAATCTACACATGGCATCTAAAAAACTGAGACGGTTCTGATTATAAGTATAGATAAATGCTTAAAAGTTGGTGTAATTTATTAGCCTATATTTGTAACTATGAGAATGTTAACCAATTGAAAAAAAAATTCAAACTTTACAAATGATAGTTTGGTAGATGTGTAATGTGAATCCATACATGACTCGTGCGATAACACGAGTTTCACTACAAGAAAATACTTATCCAGCCACGTGATTTTTCCACGTAGTTTTCATGTGGCTAAATAAAGCCAGTTGCGACGTGAAAATCACGTGGCAACGTGTTTTACTAATATAATAAAGAAGCATTAAGTGTGTCAGTTTTTTTTGTGTTAAAAAAAGTTGCGACGTGGGATTCACGTCGCTAATTAAAATATAATAAAAAATAAATTAATCACAACTTCCAACACTGGTGTATTCAGGTTTTGAAGAAAGAGAAAACAGTTGTATGATTGTTGCGACGTGAAAATCACGTGGCAATGTTGCAGCGTGATTCTCACGTCGCTACTTGCTTTATCTGCTTTATCAAAACGCTCCACAACACACAGTAGCGTTTTAGATTTTATTAAACTTCTTCTTCAACCTTCCATATTCCTCCATACCCATTTTCTTCTCCAAAATTTTTTCTTCTCCACACTTAAATTCCTACAATCTCCATACATTGGTTGTAAGGTAATTTCAATTCAATGTTATTTATACTTTGTTAACAACTTTTGATGTGTTATTTGAATATAATTTTTTTTCAATTTTTCTTTGAATAGAGAAGAAGAATATTGATAGAAATATAGATTGTAAAAAGGGACAAGAAGATTGAAGGAGTTACAAGATAAAAGGTATGTCTTGAATTTTTTTTTTGAAATTAGTATATTTTCTGAATTTGATTAATTTTTAGGTTATATATATTTTCTGAATTTCATGAATTTGCATTGGGTTAAAATTGTTGAATTTGGGTTATATATATTTTCTGTATTTGAGTTAAATTTTAGGTTTAATTATTTAGTTTATAATCATTATTAATTATTAATTTGTGATGAATGAGTTTAATTATTTTAGGAGTTTAAGTTTTTATATTTTTAGGAGTTTATAAATTTTTAGTGTTTAAATTAAATTTTTAGGAGTTTAATAAGTTTTTAAATTTTTAGGAGTTTATAAAATTTAGGTGTTTAAATTAAATTTTAAGTGTTTAAAAATAAATAAATATTTTTAGGAGTTTATAAATTTTAAGTGTTTAAATTAAATTTTTAGGAGTTTAAGTTTTTAAATTTTTAGGAGTTTATAAAATTTAGGTGTTTAAATTAAATTTTAAGTGTTTAAAAATAACTAAATATTTTTAGGAGTTTATAAATTTTAAGTGTTTAAATTAAATTTTTAAGAGTTTAATAAGTTTTTAAATTTTTAGGAGTTTATAAAATTTAGGTGTTTAAATTAAATTTTAATTGTTTAAAAATAAATAAATATTTTTAGGAGTTTATAAATATTTTTGAAAGCATATATTTATCTTTAATTGTATATGTTTAGGATTATTATTAAGTTGATTAATTAATATTTCTAATTAAATAGGTTTTGATTATATAAATTTGCAGTAAATAGAATATTATATGTATTATCGTAGTTGGATGTACGATAGACTATATCCAGGAAGACGCGCACTTAAACCCAATTTTATAGACGGAGTTAAAGGTTTTATCGCGTGGACGTTTGCCCAGGAACGTTGTCGAAGTGAAGGAGGAGTTAGGTGTCCTTGTCTTAAATGTGGATGTAGATATATAATTAGTGACCCAGAGGAAATAATACATCATTTGCATAGGAAAGGTTTCATTGAAAATTATTGGGTTTGGACGTATCATGGTGAAACACTACCGAGTAATGTACCAGAGACTAGCAACACAGATGCTTCAAGTAGTCAACCGGTTATGCAACCACCTATGGAATTTGAAGAAAACTTTAATCTGATAGGTGACATGGTTGGTGATGCTTTTGGTTTAACGTGACCTATGATC